TTGGTACGTCATGTTCGGTTCGGTCCACGTGCGTACCGTTTCGGTTAGTTTTTCACTCATTAAATTTTATTAACGAGAGATTATGTGCCGTGGAACTAAAGTTCCTAAGCGTGTTTCAGCACGGTGCTTTTATCTTGCAGCACACGTAGCATGAGCAGCCTAGCAGGCAATGAACAAGCCATGTCGTTGCGATCTCCTGTTGGGGAACATTATGGCTTTCTTGTTAAAAGACAAGTGAACAAATCCAAAGTTGTGTGTCGACGTTGTTTCACGGAGAGTGGATCTGCAGCAGCAACACGTCTACCTTGTTAACGCTCTTGAAACGACATCATCCGAACGTGAATGTAGCTTTGTGCAAAGACCGATAACAGCAGTATTTAAACAAACTTTATCAGGTCATTCAGATCGGTCCAAAGCAACAACACAAGCTGTAGGAGTTTTGAAAGCTCTGGATGTACGACCGTATTCTGTTGTTGATGCATCGGCTTTAAGCATATATTAAAGTTCTTGAGCCCTGCTACGACATCCCATCACGTCAACACTTCAGCCAAAACATTGGAGCAGCACTTTATGAAAAAGTTTAAACTGATCGTCAACAAGCCCTGGACCAGATTAAAGCACTGCCCTGATGATGACGATGCTGAGCGAGAGAGCATATTCAACAGAAATGATGACTGTGCAAGAAGAGGTATCATTATTTTATTATTGTGATCTAATTAACTTTTTTAAATTTAAAATTATAATCTTATTAACTCAATTTTTTTTTATCCCTGTGTTGTTTGCAGTCTGAGGATGTCAACGAAACAGAGCTGAGTCTCTTCATCCACCAGATCACCTCCAGCTAAGAAGTCTGTAATGACTGAACTTGTTTACTTGGCATATTTTCAAAATAAACATTTTGTAAGTCTTTATTTTGGCCTTTTTTGTACCGAAAATTAACCGAACTGAGCCCTCCTTGAAACTGAACCATATATGAACAGTTCATATATATATATATATATATATA